CGGTATCTTAATTGTTCTTGCGCTCAAGCGATGGGAACACGACCCGGGAACGTTGGTCTAGGAAGAGGATTACCCACCACCTCGTTGTCAGGGTTTAGCAAGAACACACGGAAAAACACGCGGGATTTTGAGTTTCGAAGAGCTACGAAAGTAGCGAGATGGCCGGCAAAGGTGGAGACGATGGGACAGTTGTGTAATCTTGACATTAATAATTTTCCATCACACAGAAACGCATATTCATTTTTAAATAAGAACTAACTTAGGCAGCCTATATAGAAATCCAAACATTAACGCTTGAAACGGTACATAGGTGCCGCCGTGTTGCATGTTGATATACCAACGACAATCGATAGTACGGTCCCGGCACTCGAACGTAGCAATGATATTTCACGGCTTGCTGCATTTTCCCATTACATGTGACAAAATAGGAGAACACATATAGCTGGAAGTTAAGAAGGAACGACCGGACTGGACTTGTATTCACTCCAAAAAAATGTGAGGTTAATTTTAACACCCTGTGTGTTATCGGAGGACAACAGCCAGTAAGGTTTAGTCCTCTGCTAACACACAGAGCGTTAACTTAACATCAACGTAATACCACAGGTTTTGAAGTGGAGCGGGGGGGGGTCGAATTTCATGCGACACCGGTGTCACCAGAAAGTGGCTCAGTCGACCTCGTCAGACTCATCCTGCGATGGGCTTCTTCACAAATGTCACGCAAAATGTCACATGCCGCGGTCGTTTACAAATGAAATGACGGGCGGGCTCAATTTATTGAACGAACGCAGATGCACGAGAATTGAAAAAAAAAAGTCTCTCGAAATAATAACTGTGTATAAAACCTGACGACATTATATACCGCGTGCCCACGCGAGACATGTTTCAGTTGATGAGACATATATACACGTGCTCGATGTGCACCATTCATAAATCACGCTGAGCGATTGCTGACAGAAGTTCTCAGAAGAAAAAAAAAACCCGACCCGGCCAAACAAACGCTAGCCGGGAATCCGATAAATCTTTCAGATGCCCACTTCCCTCTAATAACCCATCAATTGAGTTATTACCAGTACGCACATTAACTATTCAGGGGAAAAAAAGGTCTGGCTCTCAGGAGTTAATCAGTGTTCCGCTGGAGACAGCATATTTCTGCTCATCATCAGTTTTCATTGGGCATCATGGTTGCCAGAAGTCGCCATAAAACCATTCCCTTTGACGGATGGCGACACGATGGCCAACTACGGCCATTAAAATTAAATTCAGGACGAAAAGAAGTGAAGAAAATCTGTGAAAAACAGAGTGATGTACACTGGTCCGTTAAAACTGAAATCTTCATTTGATTTGGACAGCCCTGAAGAGGACTGACAGTAGTAAAATCTTCAAAATTAGGCTGACAAAAATGAGGACGGGTGTATCTCGACACACCAGTCAATGGCCGCTGCACCCTTAGTCTAGCATAATAAAGCATGATCACGTACGCGCATCAAGTTTTATCGTGTATAATCTGGCCATTTTGAACAACACTTAAATGTCGACAGAACGGTACGCTTTTGTGTTTTTGGCGGTCATTCCACAATATATTGATGTGTTTTTGATTCAAAAATGAAACTTGTTTTAAAGGCAACAGGTGTGCGCAGCAAACTGAGCTTGGTTGATTTATCGTTTTTAACTGGAATGACACGTCGAAGGTGTCACCGTCTGGGTCCTTTAGTTCGGAGTTCTCGGCAGACGTTTGAACTTAAGATCTCCCACCAAAGGCCCATCAATATAAACGACGGGCAATAACAACAGAGCAAGGTTAGGCTCAGAAATGAACAAGCAGTCCTCGAAGTGACGAGGACCCATCGAAGAAAAGATGTCAACACCGGTGCAAGGTGTGAAAAGATGGAATGGAACTTTGAGATTGGCAAGCTCCACACGAGGGTTACGTGCCTATCAGATGTCAGGAAAGGAGACGAACAAAAGAGGTATTGTTGAGCCGGAAAGTAAAAGGTCACGCAGCGAGCTTCTGGAACCCTCGCGCGGTCTGCCTGTCGGGATTTTTCATTGAGCCGTCCTGTCAAGTTCAATAATTTTTGGAAGAATAATTCCGTACTGACACCACCCCATGAAATGCTCATGTTGGAATTTTACCTTTGTCTTCGTCAAATAATATCAAGGAAAAGTCACCTGGAGATGGGTAAAAAAAAGAAAAAACAAAATGTAAAAACATGAATCTCATTAACGACTTTTCACGTCCGGCGATGTAGTACCTAGGTCTACACACTGTAAAAAAACGTTGGTCTAAGCAGTGTTGGGCATTTGTTATTTGCCCAACCTTGGTTAAAACTGTCATATTGTTGGTCAATTTTCCGTCACTGTTGGTCAGACATTGACCGAATATTGTGAAGAGTTTGCCCAAAGGTTGCTAAGTTGATATTTTTATCAACATTGGGCAAAATATCAACCCAACATTGACCAGCCTTTTTACAGTGCATGTTCATGCACGTTTGTTTTTACTCCCCGTGCTTCCGTGAAAACGAGATTGTACAACGTTGCAAAGATATACCTGCAGTTGATGGGTTCCAGATTCCGTTTAGCTGATATCACGCAGTTGTTGTCAGCAAAGGTTAGATAAAATATTACAATTTTTTCCTGAAAGTAGAATTACCCTATATATTATAAAGTATGCCAAATATTTTGGTCTGTTTTTATTTTGGCTTTTACCCACAGACTACCATAAAATTTCAAACCGTAAATGTTCATCTGCAAACGAGACTGCCGCATTGTACTGATCTTCATGCATTTTAGATATTCGGAAGTGATGGGTCTTTTTTTGGCAGGATATTTCTCGTTTAGGTCAGGTGATTTTTCAGTTTCTATAACTTGATGTACTAGTAAATATTTTCCAAAGCCCCTTTTCTGACTTGAAATTTTTTTAAGAAGTAAGTGAATGAAAAAAATATTACAAATTCTAAAATCTTTGCACATTACTTTTCCTTATTCAAGGGTTCCAGAAGTGCACCACCAGGGATCAATTTTCAGGCCCTACTGGCAAGGGCTTCCTATCGCAAAAAACATGACGACAGTAGCCTATCCAGCTTTTGGTGTCGGTGGGGGGGGCAAAGTCAAAAGCGAATGCGGTTTTGGGCTTATTTTACATGAAGTTGGAGGAGAAAAAAAATATCAAAATCCTTACGGTCCCAAAATCCTGGCTCTTGTTTTGTGGTGTTGTTTTCTTAGGAATTGGGGGCTAATTTGATGCATAAATATTAGAATAACAATTTGATAAATAAATGTAATGAAAATAACAGTGAAAAAAATCCTTCGGGGAGAGGAAGTGCCCCCTCCTCGCTGGACACGCCATAGCACGGCGAGGACCACTCAAAGGAGTCATCAAAGCGGCGGTGAAATACGAAAACCAAGGAATGCCCACACTCGGGTATGTAACGCCAGTGGTCAACGACAATGACATTGCTGGTGACCACAAAACGACGACGACACCAAACATTAACGACAGCCACCCGATAACCTGCAGTGCGCACAACCAGCACCCTGACCGACATGACCCCCTATATCACACGAACCAGCCGGCCAAGTACACTCCTCTTACATACAGCAAACCACGATCAGATGTCTTATAACCATCACTCCAAGACCACATGCACCGGGGAGTAGGTTCGAGTGTTTGTAGATCTCATCAAACTCTGGCAGGTCCCCCCCCCCTTCTCAGCCAGGCTGGTAATTGCGTAGATGGGGGTCCACGGTGCAAAGATTCAGCCGCGATTCACGCGCGCCGGCCCCGTACACTTCGGTGAGTTCTGTAGATACCAGTCACGTTGCAGGCGCTTCACAGTGGCGATATGACGTGTTAGATTATGTTTCTGATTTTCCCAAACGTGCCCAGGCCCCACACACTATTCTGTTTCCCCGCACAAAAATAGTCAATCTTGCTTAGAGATCTGTAGTTTGCCCTAGCAATCAGTGGTGAGCCAAAGTCCGCCTTTGCATATGAAGGGAGTAATAATTTTTCCTTGCTTTCATGTGGCTCGTAAGGATCCATCCCAAAAATCGACCATTGCGCTATTGCACCAACGAGAAGCTGCGAGTGTAAGTCAAAAATAAATACAGTCACAATGGCATCAACATTTGTTCAGTAGGTTAAATTTAAAAAAAAAGACTAAACGAACTAAACGAGAAATTATTCTTGAACAAAATGAAAAGGGTCTTCAACATACGATTTAAACCGACACCGATGACAGCGAGTCAGGTACTCTGCACACCGCCAAGGCCGACCTGAATCTCCAATGCAACTGAATGATCTTTCTGCGATCTTAAAATTCTTGTGGAGCACTCTCTGTGTTCCATAAATCTTGATTTTCCTTCTGTTCCAGTTTCTCCCGACATGTCAAACAAAGCAACACAAAATGGTCCTTGTGCCAACTTAACATGAATTCATTTTTCACGCATTTTGTTTACTGAGCGCTACAAACACGATAATTTCTACGAGTGACAACCAAAAATATTTAAGTAAACAAACAATTTTGTGTTTATAGTTTAATTGAACAGAAAAAAGGTTCTGGAAACAAGGAACTATGAAAAAGGTGACTTCAACGCACATCGAGGTGTCCGTAGATGCATGCCGTGGATGTTGTTGCCAACGTACAAGGAAAAAGTGCGTTCCGCTGTTTTCGGAGATATCAGAGGGACGAATACTTTCGCTCAATTTATTTTGGGTATATAACTTGTTTCTGGTTTGAGTAATTGGCATATTTTTGTGGCGGGTTGTTAAATTTTGCCGACACGCCTTTTTATCGAAGGCAAACAAATTACTAATTGCCTCGCTCCACAGTCTTCAAAGCGGGTTTATCCCTACTGCTTGCTCATTCGCCTCCTCTGACACCAAAGCACCAGACAGTCGTCGGTTTCGACGGGCACTTAGTAACGACGCTGCAGATCATCACAGGCCATTTAATTCGCTGGTTTGCGCGGGTGTATAAACTGCCGCCGAACCGCTTCAGTCAACACAGCAATTTCACGACTTACGGCCGGAGAGATGAGTCCGTGCGGAACCACCGTGAGCGGAACCGGTTTGGGCTCGCCCCGGATCGTCTAACAGTGGAAGAGTCGAACCTTGAGGGTGAGGCTTTATGTAATGGACAGGGGAACTTCTTGCGATATCCTGACTGTTAACGGCGGTGATCGAGGAAGTTAGGCGCCTACACAAGGCGTTTTCTCTGGATACTCAGCGAACAGGGATTCACCGGTTCGCGTCCAGTTTTTGTTGAGATTTTTCATTCTGAGAAATCTGAAGGATTCAGGAAAGTAACGCTTTTTTTTTCAAGTGCGCCGAAAACTCACTGCATTGGCCGGTGACCAAATGTACAGGAAATTGACAGTGTCTGTTTGTTTGAATGGAAAATACTAAACCGCAGACCACAAGTGCTTTGTTTCCAAATTACTCATAAGCCCGCCGTTGGATCAATTTCGTCTGTTTTGATGAAAAGGGAAGAAAAGCTCCCGATTACTGAATACTGAGTGCTTACATTTTTTCATGTAAGCTGAGGAACGTCGCAGCTTCTAAACTTCGCTGGGACGTGTCATCCAAACCGGAATTCAACGAGCCATCGCATGTTTCAGAGAATTACATTACGCTATTTGTCTTCTCAACATGTTGGAAAGGACGCTTAAAACTGGCCGCCAACGAAGCTTTGCTAACTGATGAACGGGTCAAAATTGTCTGCGGAAAGGATCCTTTTGATTGTGCTCGAGAATATCACTTCAGCGGAGAAACTTGGTGCGTCAAAATTCCTGAGTCGATAGCTCCAAAATCAGGATCACAAAAATTAGGTTCACCTGCAGCAAATCTTGTCGTCAAGCCGTAATCGTCACTTTGTCGAGAATATATTTTCATTTCTCTCGTAAAGCAACTACTCTAACCTGTAAGACCAGCATGCACTCGACTCAGCACAGCTTGCTAGTCGGCCTTCTAGTGCTGGTAAGTACATGTAATTACTTCATTGGTGTTTTCGTAAAACAAAATGTAAAAAAAAAGAAGAAATTTTGACGTTGGCGCCATGTCAGAGCGAGCTTAATGTACAAACTGACGGGAAAATGAGCTTTAATAAATTACCCTTTGCAAAATTTCCCGGTATAACTGAACTGCACCGATTACAGCTGTGTACGTGACCGTGAATTAAGGAAGCCATGAAGGTCCACATGACTTTGTGAAGTTTTTGCAATGAGTTATCTTTAAAAAAAAAAAATCGTGGCATACCGCTGTCATCATGTTAACAGCATTCTGCGCCTCTGACTGGAGTCGATTGGTTCTGGAATTAGTTTTTGTGTGGTATTTTACTTACAGCAGATGCCTTGTGGTCTGGGGTATATATAATTGTGTATAAATACAAATGAGGTGTGAAATTGTTGTTGTTGTTGTTTTTGCCTGCTTTGTCTTTCTTTCCTTCCTTCTGGGGAGGAGGCGTGGAGTCTTTTTTAGTGCCCGAGCCTTATAAATTCAACTAGGCCTATAATAAGACTGTTACACTTGGGCTTCACCTGGAGAACAACAGAAAGTACGTGGAATAACAATCCAGGTCAGAAATAAACATTGTGTAATGGGATGTAACAATAAACGGTGGATATTATGCTCACCTTTTGCGCAGTTCATGCGCGCGCTTTAAATACCTCTCCGACCAATGGCTTGCCGTTGGCTTGCCAAATGCATGTGCATCAAGTCCTTTTGAAAAAAAAGTGTCGAATCTTGGAAGCGTAGAGTGGTTGAAATAGGCCTACTCGGCTTTCGGATAGTGGCCTATGTTGTCGTCGTTAGGAGACGTAAGACGTGTCTCGTGTGGCTTAATGGAATGTGCGGCCGGCAGTCTTGTGCCCTCTGTGCCATTAACTTATGCCATGTTCAATAGCTCTATGCTTATAGGCCTACGTAAAAGCTTACTAATACGGCATCGCTTATGATCGAAGCTTCATCTTCATTAGAACTTGTTTGGTTCACGTACACATGCACAGTTGATTTTATCTAGCGACCCTGAGCGTTTCATGACATCCTGTGATATCATAACTGTCACGGTACTTTCACAATTGGATGGGATGATCAGTATCGATTTTTCTCAGGAGTAAATAGAAATGTTGATGTTGTTGAGAAACGAGATGTTTATCCCAATCGAATGGCGCATCTAAATAGATGGCTCACGCTCCGTCCGAACGCGACACTCAAGCAAATTCAAACGTCACGAAACATTTGCAGCGAAATGCGTCTGGGTTGAGATGGGTGCAACTTTTGCCAGTTCTTGGCGTGCGCGCGTGTTTGATCTGTCATAAATTCGCCTCCGTGTTTGCTTTCGCCCCCCCCCCCAAGTTTGAACCAGCCCCTGGACTACAGCAGCTGGTAAGGAAGTTTCGGATACTTTTGTGCACATTATAATGCCACTAAGAGTTACTTTTAACATTAAGGTCTCGGTTGGTTTTTTTTTATCGTACTGACAGACACCTAGGCTTAAATAGAGAATAAATGTACAACAAGGTTTATTACACAAGTGGGCCATGTGTTAACCTAAAACGCGGGGCGGGAGGATATTTGCCTACAGGCTCTGAACACTGTTCACTGCCCAATCTGTGATAATGGAAATAACACACGTTGGTGTTTAGGAATGGCCACACCGAAATGTGTTACTTCAACACTGCTGGTGCTATATGCACCCACAAGTGTTACGGTGCACTGTAGGATATTAAAATTACACCAACAGTGTTTAATTAACACCAAAACTTTTAACACTAGTGAAAAGTGGTGACTTGTTCCTCTGGTAACTCCGATGTATAACACCCCGGTTTTTGCAGTGTTGTTCCGCAGGCCCTATTAGCCCTATAACACTAGCACCAAAATTACTACGCTGGAAGGCGATTGAGCCTTGTATTTTGTGTACACATGCAGAGCTATGTCAAGCCGTGGACTAACTAGCTTAATCAAACTTCAGAAGTGAAACTTGTCCGGGACCTTAGTCACAGATGATGACAGAAAACCCCTCAGATCTAGTTTACTGATTTGTATTTTTTTTTCAATATACAACAAATGCACACTCTTTCCATTTGCCGTGTGGAGCTCTCCCTTCGACGATAGTTGATGGATGTGAGTATGTGAACTAAACATTTCCTGTTATGAAATAATTTTCGTGTATTATTCTAAAATAAATAATTAGACGGTTAACGTTAAATAGAAAAAATGCAAGAATGTATTCACGAAACTGAACACCCAGACACATAGGAATGTCCGCGTGGACTTGGATGCGATTAACGTTTTCCAAATTGTATGCCCACTTTTTAGGCACGCACTAGTTTTTTGATCTTGCGATAACCACACTATTTCCCGGGTCAGAATGTGAAATTATAATATTCAGTTCATAATGTACACAAAGCCTTTACGTAAAGGAAGCATATTTAGGACATGACTGAAAAGAGATTGCCCATGCTTTCGCTCGGGGGATAATATTGTACTAACGTGTTTCACTATTTCAAGAGTAACCCGCCAGGGCGAATTGTGGGCAATGTTTTTTTTTGCAATCATTTCCTAAATGCGCCTCCGTAGTATTGACGTCACCAGCGTGACCTGTGGTAACGCCTGAATCCCGGTCGGCCATACAAAAGAGGGTGCGCTGTTCCAATTCACGGAACATTCTCCACTTGGCCGAGGCGCTTAAAAAGTAGCCCTACAGATGCTTTCGAAAAGAGGAGTCCGAATGTGGGACGTATAATAGTGGGATGGTGTAATTATGACCCAGAATCCTCTCTGTAGATTCAGGGACACCCATTTGGGAGCAAAGCAGACAAAAATGTGATCAAATGATTGCCAGAAGAGCCCGAGAAAGGTGAGGGATGTCATTTAAAAAATGTCTGCCGAGAACTGGGACGTACGTTCACTTTTTTTTTGGGGGGGGGGTGAGTTTGATTTTGGTGGATGATTAAAAAATTCATTGGTTAATCTACTAAAATTTGAATATTAAATGAAATCTTAAGGACCCAACAACAAATTGTTTTTTGTTTGAGAGGCCTCGAGGACTTCAGTTGCCTGGGGCTCCAAGCTTTGTTGATTTATGTCCATGAAATCGTTTACAAAGGCATTGCAGCTAATGTTCTGTTTGACATTGGTTGAATTGGTTCAGTGCACCCATGAGGAGTCTGTGACCATGACCTTTTATACTTGACCTCTCCATGTAGCTTTTGTCCATGAAATCGTGTACAAAGGCATTGCAGGTAATGTTCTGCTTGACACTGCTCGATTAAGGAGTGGCGGCAGTAACATGCGTCACCCAGCAGCAAATGCATGCTCACCCTGGTGTTGAGAAGGTAACAGTCTTTTCATACTGGGCAAAAACACAAACGTCTCGAAATCATTGTCCTGACTGTGCCGGACTTGCACCCTGTTTTCACAACACAAGGCAGTGGGGTCTAGAAGAGGGCGAGTGTGGTCTCAGACGGAAGTCCCGTAGAGTACCTGCACAAGGTTGGTGCACACGGGTAAACTTTAATATACACAAAACGTTAGCCAGAACTACTGGCAGGGGTGACGCGAGGCACGTGAAATTCCTTCATTAAGCCTGGTTTCCATACCGTCGTTTGTAACGTGCAGACGGAACGCAAGACGTGCAGACGCAGACACGAACGAAAGAGACGGTGCACGACGCCATTCCACCCCAAAATTGAAACAAATTGGCTCATGTTGAGCCTTGTTTATCAAATATGCAAATTTGTCAGTGCCAATTCCAGCGCCCTTGCGTTTGTTCACTCATCTGTGTCAATAACATCACAAGATGCATACCATTGCAAAGAGGACATGCTGCCCTTTCTGGAGATATATTTCTCGTCCCCATATATAAAGTAGTTTTGCCATTACAGTAATTTTTATCTTGATATACGTTTAAGTAGACATCCTGTATAACTGTATTGCACGGTTCATATCAAACCCCGCGTAATGTGCTGTTCTACAAACTCGGCGCATTGTGCTGTTTTTACGCTGAAAGCAAAACCCACGGCTGAAAAAAAAATTACAGTAAATTCAAAGGTAGCGCATTTGCGTGCAATCGCCCCTGTCACACGTTTACTACCTGTCAAGTTTGTCTGAAGAAAAAAATTGTTATCGCGCTCGTGCTCATTGAACATGGAATAATGTGGAACGTCTGTGTCCCAACGAGGTCGAAGGACGAGTGGACACAGACGCATTACATCATTCTTTGTTCCACGGGCGTCAGTGTGATAACTACTAAGCATTTATTTGCTATACGCTTACATGCTAAACATGTTTAGAGCTTTGATGATTGGTGATTATTTACGAATTAGAAAGCTATTATTTGTGATTTAATCTGCTTAGAAAGTGACGACAAGCTTGTTTTTGTGTGCTATTTTGCGCGCGTGACATCATCCACCTTTATGCAAATGCCGCCAGTGGGTTTCGTGGTCCCTTGTGCATGTACTGTACCCTAGAAATGCAAAATCGGGAATCATTGAGATCTCATTCGCGCTCGTCAGACACCCATTCTGTAGTAAGCTTAAATATGCAGCGTTCCGTACTACGCAGACAACCTAGCTCTCCAATCATAGGCATGATGACATACCGACTTACCCCATGACATAGCCGATCATTTGCCTAACAAAGAAACGGGGTAAAGTGACATCGTCACTGGCACTAAAATATCTGGAAAGTCAGTTGAATTGAAATGTCAAGCTTCAGTGTGAAACTGTACCAGTTAAAGTAATAATTATCCGGTTTTCTTATACCTTCTTTTCGTTTTGTTGTTTCTACCTCTAGTTGATTTTTTACTGGATAATGGCGTGTTCATATTCCCTGAGGCCTTTGCGCACCGTGCCAAACCTCATCCCTTCTTGCGTCAAGATCTTGAAGGAAGAGTGGCCGCATTGCAAGGCGCACCTTCTACCGGCGCTCGTCAAACAAGAGCTCGCACTCGCCCCTTGTTCCTACGGCTTGGTCCGACACGTACACGCAGGCGACGCAGGCGACGCACGCGATGAAGGCACCCTGGTTGGCCACGTCCGACTCATTCCAGTCACTAACAGACAGCGGGCAATTTACGGCGAAAGCTTGTGTGTGGATAAGGCAGAAAGGGGGCGGGGTCTTGGTGAATTAATTATTGCAAGAAGGGAGGAGTTACTGAGGAGACTGGGATACCTGGAGTTACATGTGACTACCTATGCCCACCGAAAGGATTACTATCTTCGCCGTTTCTATTCCATGCTAGATAAGCCGGCGCATACGCTTGGAGCAAATATCCTCCAAACAAGTGTTGCAGTGGGAACGCATCCCTGCTTTGTCAGTTGGCATGGCAACGTACTGTATCCCGGCCTTGAGTCAGAATACGAGGGCGGTGCCATAGCAACAGAGAAAGAGGTTGCTGATGGCAGCAGTGGTGTTTGCTTTGTGAAATATCTCCGGGGCACAGAGCACATAAATAGCGAGAAACGGGCTCAGACGTTGTTCCCTTAGTGGATAAAAGGGAAGAGAGGGCAATGGGAGAGGAAGTTTATTTCTCCCGATTTGTAAACTGCCAATTTCTCTCCTCCCTGTTTGTAACTTGGCAGCCATGGTTGCGATTGCTTGAGTTATTACGTACCAAATTGAAACTTGTATTATGCTGTAACAGTGGTACCAAAAGTAAACGGGATTTCACGGGGCTGCCCGAGAGTCCCCTCTCCCATAATAAAAGAGAAAACGTCCCAAAGAATAACTACGTTTGAGAATTACTGAAACAGCAAATCGAAAAATAACCCGATCCCATGCAGTGGGGATCCAATCCTAGGTCAACACAAGGTGCGCAACTGAAATGCTTTACTTTCAACCGTTTGAAGTTGAACATTTCATAAATGAGCTTTTAGCAGGTTGCTATCCGAAACATTAGCTAGCGGCGGCAGGGTTACATGAGTGGACGCTAAAGTCTGATTTCCCAATGTCTTTAATTTGGGTTACGTCACGTGATATTTTGTGCACGATGTTGGGGAAAAGTTAACTGTAACAGAGCGCTGGAATTGTTGAAGTGACAACATTAATATTTATGAACCTCGAGCTTGAACAAGAGAGGGCGCAATTTCCCAGCAGCGCAGGCTGCGCAGGCTGCATTGGTTGGAAATGCACTTTGCTGGTTCACAAACGACCATAAAAGACATGCGTCACTTTTGCACCGCTACCAACAAATTAACACTCCCTGCCAAACTGACTCTTTTCCACTGATGAGGGTGCGTCTGCTCGAGGCGGTTTGTTTCCTCATGAAGAAGATGCGTTGCTTGACAATGGAAGCTTACATAATATTTGTGTGTACTTGTAATATTAAACGTAACAATACATGAATGAGTTTACGTCCACTTGGCACTCTGGGCTTATGGACAGTATTCCGGGACTGTCTGTGTTTTGTGGCATCATTTGCTCTAAATTTGAAGGTATAGGCTGGATGGGATGGTAACCACAAAGGTGGAAGAACATTCACAAAAGAGAAAACGTTAACTGTTATTTCATACTTCAGCGAAACGCGACAGCAAAGCAAATCTGACGTCACAAACCGTTTGCAGCGTCATTCGCTCCAGTTTAAACACATTCAACTTTTGCGAACTTGCAACATGAATATTTGATTCGCGCCACAGCAGTTTGTGAGGTGGCTTCCCTCGTTTTTGAGGTGGTAGTCTCCCTCGTTTTGCTTACATTTTATCTCACTACAGTTTTAAAATTGAGGTTCTTGTTGAACAGGAGGACAACGAGGCTTAAAATAAAATGCACAGAGGCAAGGGGACAATAACTAACATGGAATTAAAGGCTTTGGTATGAAGTGTTCGGAATCCCTCAGAACTGGTCTTCTGTTGGTCCAACTCCCCCCAAGTTACTAGCACCAATATAGCAGTGCTCGTAAAAAATTAGTTGTCGGAGATAAATTTTGCGTTAATGTGCTGAGCTGCACAGCTGTGGTTTAGTCAGTTAGAGTTGGATTTTCGTTAAAAATGAAATTTCAAAAAGGCTAAAACGTTAAACATTGTGCTCTATGACACAGCGACACTTGGGGCCTCCAAATCTTTGTAGGTTCCCTATTATTTTCTCAGGCTCCAGGAGAGGCGGATCTAGAGGGTGTAGGGGGGGAGTTGCAACCTCCTGTTCATCCGCGGATGAAATGGAACTAGCAGTGAAATGACGGGAAATGTGTAACCCCCAGCCCCCCCCCCCAAAAAAAAATCCCAGACGAGGATCTATCCATCTGTAGTTTAGTTTTCTTTTCATCGGGGAACGGTGCATGGTGCTTTTGGAAACCCCGAGCAGGACATCCCTTCAGTGCGCTCTTCGACCCCTGCCCCCTGTTTCCTGAAAGCTAGATCCGCCCCGTCTAGGCACAGCGCCAGTTCGGGCCAAGTTCAGTCACGAAGTACAGTTCGACCAGTAGTCAATTGCTTTTTAACAATGCGCATGCAGTTTCATGTGAATGGTTCCCTCTGTAATGATAAATGAAATCAGCTATTGATAACCAGCGATGTGGCCGTTCCCCTTGGCCTGGTCCCAAATGGTGGACTAGATAGTCTAAACTATCCATTGTTCGGGCAGTGTTAGTCGGACCATAATTAACCAAAGTAGTCATGGCTAGAACTTGCCCTCAGATTTAATATAGATACGCAAGCCCTGCTAGAACTTCAGTAAATCATTTCAACTCACACAAGGTTGCTGTACTAGGCTGTTTTCACGATAAACGCTTTCAACTTAAGTTTCTTTGCAAATATCACAAGAATAAATGGCATAATTTAACGGCAATCCCATTCATTTGTATTTATTAAAAAAATCAATACTTCAATATTGATCAGTTGTCGAACTTTTTAAAAATATTGTGTACTTCTTTTGTCATAACAATCATGCTACTGTAATTAGCACAGTCTATATGTACACAATTCCAAGGGGGTCCCCGGCTTACAGACCCCGCTTTTTGGAGTCCTCCTCCAATTACTATCGATTACTTGCTTCATATAAAAGTGTCAGTGGACTCACTGTTTTGACATGTATAAGTGGAAATAAAATGAACTAAACTGAACCGAACTTTGTCACAGTATTGGCCTTAAGGTTTCACTTGTTTATTATTTACTTTTTTAAAAGAGGGCCACACCCTTATTGGTATTATATTCTTTATTTTCTGATAGCTGCGTGGAACATGAACGTTTACTGAATTGTTCCGTTTCTCCTACACTGATAGTCAAGCTGTATACTCTTGGCAGCCCCCGTAGGCAGGAATACGTGTGACCTCCAAAACGTAATTAGTCACCTTCCTTATAATTAGTAAATTGAGGACCGGAAGCAAGCTCGTATTAAACGCCTGTAATTGGTCCCACTGTTTGAGCTCTGAATACCGAATAATCTGATTGAGCCAATAGACACTGACCGCGCTTACCATTATGTCACACACGCAGTTAATAATTGACTACACCGACTTTGTGGTTAGCCCCCATTTGTCACGGTGTTATAATTTATTTTCTCATCGAGAGTATTCCTGATCAATGGTTTTGGTAATCTAATTACAGGTATATCTTCTTAAGATATAGAGGTTATGTGCGGTAGCCATCTTCACTTTTTTTTGAAAATATAAACCCCAAGACGCTACAGGGCTTCTGTTTAATTATCAATTGCAAATGGGGAACCTTCGGCGGCGTATCTACCTTTTGGTGTCGGGGGAAAATCCAATGCGGTTTCGGGTTCACTCAACATGATGTTGGGGAGAAAAAATATCAAAAGCCTTACGGTCCCGACATGCTTGCTTTGATTTGCTGGTGTCGTTTTCTTTGGAATTTGGTGCTAATGTTTACTGAATATGTTCTTTCCTACACATCCATTCTTTGGAAACAAAATCCGCAGAAATTTCTGTCCCCCCTTCCCTGCTGGATACGCCCCTGGGAACGTTTCTGCAGGGAACCAAATCCCAAATGCGAGTACATTTGCTAGGTTCACTTTTGTTTCTCACTAATTGTAGTTGATTTTTACTGGATAATGGCGTGTTCGTATTCACTGAGGCCATTGCGTTCCGTGCCCAACCTCATCCCTTTTTGCATCAAGATCTTGAAGGAAGAGTGGCCGCATTGCAAGGCGCACCTTCTACCAGCGCTCGTCAAACAAGAGCTCACGCCTGTCCCGTGTCCCTACGGCCTGATCCGGCAACCAGACGACGCACGGGGTACAGGAACCCTGATGGGGCACATCAGATTTGTTCCCGTCACCAACAGGCTGCAGACAGTTTTCGGCGAGAGCTTTTGCGTGGAGAGGACTGCGAGGGGGCATGGCATTGGTGGGATAATACTCATGAAAATTGAGGAACTGCTGTTGAAGCTGGGTTACCCAAGAGATTTGCTGCGTGAGTGACCTACGCCCATCTGAAAGAGTTCTTCCTTCGCCGTTCTTAACGCATATCCGATAAGCCGTTTCCTGCGTTGGGAGCCAACCTACTCCACGCCATCTGCCCCGTGGCAGGCAACCCCGGCTTCGCCAGTTGGCAGGGCAACGTTCTGTACCCGGGCTGTGAGTCGGAGTATGAGGGCAGTGTCATGGCAACCGAGGACCAGATGACTCGAGTTGACGCCCACGCCTGGTTCATAAAACATTTGAGTAACTAAGGCGGCCTATCCGCGACACCCCATCGGCGTTCGGACGTCCTTGAGCTCTCAAATGTACCCATTCTTCCGTATCTGTCTTTTTTTCTGAAGTGCTCCACATAACTGTGATATTGCTTTTTAGGGAGTCAACGGTGTTTGCCTTTTAACTGACTAATGACAAGTTGGAAATTTATCAGAACATCATTTAATATTGATCAAAGTGGGCCGGGGTAAGTGCTAGTCTAAGGCACGACACCAAATTAAAGACGTTGTCTGTCACCATGAATAGCTTGAAATCCCATTTCTCAGACTTTATCGCTCTCCAGAAATTAAGTCAGCGAAGACCAAGTGTGCACAAAATCCCCATAGACTTTTCTTCCATAGACATTCTACATGTATGAATTATTCATTACCACCCCTGGCCCAATCCAGTGCTCCCATTGGCTAAGACGCGGCAACAAACGTATATACAACGACTAGCTCCAGTGGTCAGCTTTGATTATTCCCGAGCTGGCACCTTTGAAGTAAAAACCTCCTTGACCGTTCGTGAGTGTATCACTGCGTTTACACTTGATCCGGCGAGGAGGATCAGATTCGGCAAGGGGGATCAGATCCGGATCAAAAACGTGCGTAAACGCATGGAGAACTTTCGCCATGGTAAACGCAGCGCAGGATCAGATCCTGACCCAGGATCCGATCCTCCTCTCGGGAAGGATCAGATCCGGTTTAGATCCCGCGTGCGGGATCAAATTGCAAGTGTAAACACAAGGCTGGGTCAGATCCGGATCAGATCCCGGGATTTGACGTAACTACATCCGGTGCAAGTCTTGAAGCGAGCGAAAAACAATTTTGTGTCATCGTGAAGACATGTAGTACAGTAAATGTACATGCCACTGTACACGTACCGTACATACGCTGTTGGTCCGGCCGCCGAACAGTTGTTTATTGTAAATATGGAAACGATGTAAATTATTCTTCAAAATAAAACAGTAGTGTGTGGGAAAGTCAGTCCAGTGACTCTCACTGTTTTTGACAACGGCTCCCTACCCTATGAGAGACGTCACAATATACTTGTAGAATAGGAATCACAATGTTTTCTTCTCATTAATTCCTGCATCGTGAACTAAGAGTTTTGGAACACCCCAATTTCTCGCTAAAGCATGTTCAACCATGGTTCAACCACGGTTCAACTGTACGACTTAACTGGGGTTTACAGGGGTTTGACCATGGAGGTAGCACGATCCATCCCAAGGTCAGGGTAATTGTCCGTGTTAGACAATCGAACACTTCTTATATGCGTGATACATAGGCCTACAACGTACCGATATCATTGTCTCTAAAACCAAATTGAGTCGTTCAACTCAAGACTATGACCACGGGTCACACAGATTTGTGTGCACGCTGACCCTCCAGGGCGAAATTGTGTAAAACGTGTTGGAAAGAATAAGGCTATTTACATAAGGTCAAATACTTTGCCTATTCCACACTTGGAAGCTGGGTTTGACAGGAACTCTTTTTACCAGGGCCAAAGTACGAAAAAAGACCCATATACCTTATGAGAGTTACAGCGTAACGGTCCCGTGATCATCTCATTTTAGACCACTTCGAAATGGGGCAGATTTCCCTCAGTGTCACTTGTTCTTTCAACCAACTTGCCCTCTTCTCCTTATGTCAGAAGTAACGCCGCAAACTCCAGCAGTATCTGGTAAGTCAAAGGATCAAGGGAATGAATTCTTCTTGGAATTGCTTTTTGTGTATCTCTGGACTCTTCTTCCGTGCACGAAGATTGTTTGGCATCTCTTTTGAGTTACGTGAACTGAACGTTAAAGCTTGACCAAGCATTTCTGGACAAGTGAGGGCGCTTTTGCTTTGATGTAAATCCAGGAAGACATGGTTCAGGTTGCATGTTTTGATGTTCAAATTGTGAACCCCAAATTTGCTATCTGGGAACCTTTCTATGAAAAGGATTTGGCTGGATTATTGCCATAAACTATACTTACACAGCAATAAATTGCCAAAGAAAATAAAATCTGCAATAGCAGTGGTTAGAAAAATCTAGAAATTTTCTCTGCAACATTGAGATTCAGTGCCTTGGATGACATCATAGTTTTGCTCATGAACGTGCAAATGTGCATTAGTATAAAAACGAAAAAAAGGGGTTAAAATTTGGGTTAAAATTGCCCCCCAAAAAATGCAGCTTAATTGAAGCCCAAAGATGCAATTTCAAGGGTTTTTAGTAAAATATTTATAAAAAAATATTTCTATTTCCTGGTTCCTTTAAAAAATTGATAACTTGCTAGGTAGATATTCCCGTACACTTAAAAGGGACGGTGCAAATATCATTAAAACATTGAAACTGGGCCTTTGTATTTCAATTAACCTTATTTTCAATATTTGCTTTTCTACTTGGAGCCATTTTTGTGCTAATTTGAATTTTCCAATTCATAATCAGAACTGTGATGTCCTCCCAGGCTTTGAACCTGAATGTTGCATTGATTTGAGAAAAAAAAAAGATTTAGTTTTATAGATAATTGTGGTTAATTTCTGGTTCTTAGGCAACCAATTGTTGAAGTATGGCAATATTAACCCAATGAAAAATCTTTTTTTAGAATGTTTTGAAAGAGCAAATTGGGGGTTCAAAATTTGAACCTAAAAACGTTGTAGGCTGAAAAATGCGTTTTCCTTGATTTGCACCAGAGCATACAGTGCCCTTTAATAGCGGCGATTTTAATTGTTTTTAAAAAGCTCACTTTTCAATTCGCCTTACCCGAGAGGATTTCAAAACATTGTTTTTCACTTCGAAGAAGAGCCAAATGACGGACAAAAAGTGAAGCAAGGCAAGGTCATCCTTTGATGTAGGAACATGCTGAAAGCCTGGGCAAAGTTTTGAGTGATACGACAAAAAAGGATATAGGATCAAAGATAAAAAAGAATTCTTCGAGAATAAACATTATAACGAGGGAACAAGATTTCTGAAGATTTTATTCTCATCGCCGACGTTCATGTATTTACATCGTGCCTGTATCGGCTCGCTGCTTGCAAAAATGAATCTGCGTGTGCAGCATCTTGCAAATTATAATTTGATTCGCACCTTGATCAGTTGTCTATTTGGCACGATTCCAACGGGTGACGGTAGGAGTTGTATTGTATGGCAGATAAGACAGAGGATACTCTATTTGTGCTGTAGTCTTCTAAAATATGATTTTCCCTTCTCCAGTGCATCCCAAGAGATGCTCATCCTTTCTTATATAACTCTAAGATTTCAATTCAGACAATTTATGCTACTAAAACATCAAAACAATACAGCGCTTGTGTGTTGTTTCAAACTATATGTTTCCGCGGGCAATTTTGTTCATTTTTTTCTTAAAATAATTATATTACCCATTTTTCATGAGTGAAAGAATCGTCAAACTCCCAGAGAATTGGTATTCTTGTCTTC